TTTGCAATATGCGGTGGAACCGGTGAAGATTGTTGGTCAACAAGTGAAGAAACTTAGGAACGAGGAGATTCCTATGGTAAAGGTTTTGTGGAGGAGTGATCGAGTCGAAGAAGAAACTTGGGAGACCGAGGTCTCAATGAGGGAGCAATACCCATTTCTTTTCGATTAGGTACTTGGATTTCGGGGACGAAATCCCAAATAAGGGGGGGTGAACTTGTAACACCGTCCCCAAGTATATTTACTTTTATGAAAATAATGTATTGAAACCTTATTAAAGGATTAATGAATTTACGAAGTTGTAAATTTTTGTGATTTCTTTCGCGTGAATAATAAATTGCACGTGGGACCCACACCGGGAGTGGGGGCCGCCCGACATTCCCGAGACCATATATTTTATTCATCTTGGTCTAGATAATAAATATATAGTGGTGGATATTTCATTTGGGCTATGGGAAAGCCCAGAGTAGACCGGTTGGTCAAAAGGAGCCCAAATTATCGGTACTGGTAATTTAACTGATAACAGCCCGAACTGAATTTCGGGGGCTTATAAATTAAAGTTGGGGAATGTATATTCATTATACATGTCATAATGAGTAAGAGCACATAATATATTTTATTTGACCCGATAAAATAAAATATATTTAAAACAGTCCGAAAAATACAACTTTCGGGACCGATTGTACACACTGGGACACAAAGGGATGACCTCCCACATGAGTGGGGGCCACCCCACGTTTTTGTGTGCTCCAATTAATCAAAGAGGGCTGGATAGACAAGGGAAGAGGCTGAAAAGATGGTATTGGCATCTAAGGTACATGGGTGACCCCCCTCCCATCACATATTTGCCAATCAAGGCAAAAGTGAACACCCCCTCTCTTCCCTCATCATTTGAGTTCGGCCAGCACCAAGGGTAGGAGGAGAAAAAGCTCTGAAACTTCATCTTCCATAGCCAATATTCGAGCTCAACCTAAAGTGGTCCAAGGAGGAAGATTAAAGAGAGAAAAAGTTGGGAAAAGTGTGAATAATTAAGGTAATGACCTTATTATACCTTTTCCTCTATTTTTCTTTTACAAAATGAGATATATATCATATGAGGGATCCTTAGTATGGTTTCACATGTTATAAGTATGGATTTATGGGTTGGAAAATGGTTCTACGTCCAAAAACGGACTTAGAAGCCAAAACGACCGGTTTACCGGGAAATAACCTTTTTGAGGTTATTTGTATTAATATGGGTTTTATGATTATAAAACCTTGTTAGGCACTTGTAAAGGGTATTTCAAGTGGTTTCACAAAGTTGGAAAAGTCGCCGGAGTCGTCGCCGGAGTTGACCAAAAGTCGCCGGAGTTTCACCGGAGTTCAACCAAGAAGGGTAGAACTTCATAACGCTAGTTCAAGGTGAGTGGACGGCTTAATATCTTATAACTTTTGGGTTAATTATGAGATTACCTAAATAAATGTTATATGAGTTCATAATAATGTTTAAAAGATATTTAAACATGTGATTAGCCAATAGGGTTAAGTTTGTATGAAAGAAATTAATTGTTGATGCATGGAATATGATGTGAAGAATTATATGAAATGCATATTTGCTTGAAGTGTATTAGAAGCACAAATGAATATTATTAACTTAATTATATGATGATTAAGTTGATACACACAAGGCATGAAATGGCGGTCAACGAAAACGTGGACCGAAGAACAAAGGATTTAATTAATACCGGTTGGTATTAATTAAATATAAATCTATATAAATGCATGGTTTTGCATGGATTGTGATACATAAGAATTTATGTATTGGATTAGTTATGAGTAACTAAGTATGATATAGACTCTATCTAGGTTGATAGGAGGTTGATAATAGGAAAACTTGGTGGAGGACCCTAGTACTTAAAAAGTACTTAACACTCAAAACTTGGTGGAGGACCCTAGTACTTAAAAAGTACTTAACACTCAAACTTGGTGGAGGACCCTAGTACTTAAAAAGTACTTAACACTCAAACTTGGTGGAGGACCCTAGTACTTAAAAAGTACTTAACACTCAAACTTGGTGGAGGACCCTAGTACTTAAAAAGTACTTAACACTCAAACTTGGTGGAGGACCCTAGTACTTAAAAAGTACTTAACACTCAAAACTTGGTGGAGGACCCTAGTACTTAAAAAGTACTTAACACTCAAACTTGGTGGAGGACCCTAGTACTTAAAAAGTACTTAACACTCAAACTTGGTGGAGGACCCTAGTACTTAAAAAGTACTTAACACTCAAAACTTGGTGGAGGACCCTAGGACTTATGAGTCCTTAACACTCACAAACCGGTGGAGTATCCAAGGATTATGATCCTAAAACTCATAGATTATGACATACAATTAGGGACAAGGAGGAGTCCTCTACACTCATAGGTATATGGGTGGGCTGGGGTTTTTAGTCAAGAGTATTGACTATTACTATTTTTCCCAAATAAAATGGTGATCTACGGGTCGGATATTTTCCAAGTATATATATACTAATAAGTATTTCATAACTTGGGGGAAGGACTATTTATTTAAGTATCACCCTATGTTTGGGTCTTATACTTGAAACGCTAGTTATTCTATATTTAGCCTGCTACTCGCTCGGTACTTGTACTGACCCCTTCGGGGGGCCCCACCATTTTCAGGTTGAAGCTAGGGCTTGCTACTTGCACCTTCTCACGGGTGGTATCATATCGGGAAGACGTGGTTCGTGCTTCCTTATTTTCTTTCAAACTACCGAACACTTGCTCATGGATATTTGTTTTACTATAAACTATTTTTGGGGCTTGCATGCCCATGTTGTTGGCCGGTTGTGGCTCATGACTTACCGTTGAATATTTCCGCTATTCATTGGTTTAAATGTGATGTTGTTATGTATGTTTACTACTGAGTATGGATGGATTGTTTTCTAGGACGCCTTGTGTAATTAAGTGATGTTGACTCGTGGGTGACGTCACTTGATTATACGGCGGTTGTACACGCGCTTGGATTGCGGTCTGGGGCGTGACAGGTGTTTTATTTGGGCCTCACGGTTGTCGTGGAGCGTCATCTTTGCCCCATAAAGAATGCGATTGGGAATGAACAGTTCTTCTCAGACTTGGCTCTCAAGGAGCTTAGCATCTACTTCCCTGATCCGCTCGTCTACAGTCTCCGAGGTGCAACCCATGTGATGAGGAGACGCCCGGGAATGGTTATGGTGCACTTTGATTCTATCAGGGCCGGGCTGCGGTTCCCGCATCATCCCTTCTATATTGAATTTTTTAGTTGTTTCCAAGTGGCTCCGGCGCAATTCATACCCAACTCCTATCGCTTTATTTCTTCATTCCTCGTTCGTTGTAAGGCTGTTGGAGTAACCGCGACTCTAGAGTTGTTTCACTACTTCTTCCGGCTCACTCCCCAAAATTCCGATGGGTTTTTGAGCATAGCCGCATGTCCCAAGCGGAAGCTCTTTGAGGGGGCACCGACGTCCATCAATGAATAGAAGAACAAGTACTTCTTCGTCCGCTATGCGGACGCTCGTCTGCCCATCCGCTGGAATGGGTATCCCCCTAAGATTGGTTCTCCGAAGTTGTCGGACGAGCTGGAAAAGCAAGTCGAGAACATGATGGCGTGTGACACCTCGAAAAATTTAATAAAATAAAATAAATAAATTTTATTAGTTAGCAAAATATTACGAAAGTGATTTTTTTTTAAAATCAAGTGAATCAGATAAAATTTTAACATCAGTGACATTTTAATCAGATAAAATATTTCAATAATAAAAGTGACATTTTTACAATAATTATGTTGACTAGATAGGATATTGACTTAAATAATAAAAATGACACTTTTGTTACAGGTGATAACTATACATACGACACAAATAATAAAAATGATACTCCGTACTTTAATATGAGTAAATAAAATGAGTACAACAATATGGAGACACATGCGTATGTCTCAAATGAAGCCAAGATACCCAACTCATCCACCCTAGCCTAGAATTTTCCTCATGCCTCAGCAAAATGAACAACAAACAATCACACATGCTAGATCGATCAGTAGTTAGAAGAGGCCAAAGACATGCGAATGATGAAGCAAACGAGCTACATGTTCTTATTCTACACCAAGCGAAAACTAGTGACCTGCGTATTCATATAAACACAAATATATATTTTAATATTTACATATATTGATATATACATTCCCCTGTGAAACCTGCTATAACCCTCTGTCTATACATCAGTATAAATACCGGCCCGGACCTGAACTTACACCCGCACCTCTTCTCTGTGACCTGCTATCTGAGCCGACCGATATATATACATATATGCATTTATATACACAATTTTTCAACCCTTCATTCTAGTAAAAAACCAGAGCTTAAACACCTCTGAAAACCTTACCCTTCGTGAGAGGAATCCAACGGCGAAAGAATCATTGAAAACGGACGTGAAACGAGGGAGAAAAGCTTCGCCGGAGTGGCCGTCGGACTGGTTTTAAGCCGAAGATCGGAGGAATCCCTGCTGCTGCCGCCAGACCACCTCTCTGCCACCAGGCCGACCTGAAACGTCCTCCTCCGCCACCGTACCAACTCTTCCGTCATTAATAAGGTAAGCCGGCTACCCCTTGCGTTTTTCCGGTGATTATACGAAGAAGACAAAGTTATGTAAGGAGTAGTATATACGTACGTAGTTCATGCGAACAGGCTGGCTAAGTGTTTATTTGGGATTGGGCTGAAATTTTATAAAGCAACTGAGCTGAATGTTTAATAACAAAATTAAATATTATTAGTTGTATGTATTGATAAACCGGTCAATTGCTGTAAATATTTGGGCTGATTATATTCATTTAGACCATTAACAATAATCATATAAACAAGTGGACGGTTGAATCATTTGGTGGATTGAACTGGAAGTGTACAAATGGTTACGTCGGCCGATTACTTTTAAATACCGAACTACTACTACTACCAATAATAATAATAATAGTAATTATCTGCAAAATGAATAAATTTGAGATGAGAAATATTAATGATGACGTTGGCTTGGTTGATCGATAGTAATCACTTGGATAAATTGTGTATTTGTGATTTAACATAAATACATAACGTTAAATGGAAAAATAAATCGATGTGTAGTTAATAAAAAGTTAAAAACTAATAACGTGAGATAAATTGGATTACAAATTGTGGATTATTATTTACACTAAAATAGTGGATTAATTAAGATGGACTAAATAAAGGCAATTAGAGAAATTTCATAATTTGGATCTATTATCTGTAATAATATACATTTCGGATCTATTATTTTATAAGTATTACATTAATAACAACATCTTTAATTGATGATGATTAGTAAACTAATTATATATGCGGAGGTTGGATTAATAATAGTAAATAAATGAAAGGCCGAATTAAAAATAGTAGAGTAAGGAATAAAAATTGATAGAAGAAACTAATCGATGATTAATGGCAAAATGAAAATTCGAATTAATGGCTAAACAGATTGATAAACTCAACTAATAATAAGGGAAAATTTGGTGAATAATTAAGGTTAGAAAGTCGACTAATTATATCATCTTAATTAAAAAGGTGATTATCTAGAGACCGCAATAGAGGAAGAAAAATAGAAGCATTGAATTTGAGGTAAGTTTCTCTGCCGATCCAAAATGATTTCCTCGTATTATATGCTTATTATGCATTACATGATTAAGTGTGAATTTTGAATTATGTGTATGTGATGTTGAGGAGATATTAGATCTATGGTATTTGAGAAGTGCAAACTAAGTACTTTTGGGTATTAAATATTTTTAAATACCTGTGAGACTATTTAGAGAGAGTGAGAAATATTTTTTTTGGAAGTATATCTAAAGTCAAGATAAAATTTATGTTTTCATAAGAAGTGAGCACCCGGGAGAAATCCGTGGTGTCGGTTTTCCACATCCGGATAAATGTGGAGGGTGATTAAGGCTGCTACTACTAAGAAGTACAGTTTGAGTTTGAAATGACATTTGGATCTATGATCCTTTTTAAGAAGAAGTTATGGTAGTAGTAGTCCCTAATCATTCAAGAATTTTAAAGGTGAGGTAGTTGGTAGACTGAGTCCCGATTACTCGTGACGACTTACTACTCGGAGGGCTTGGAATCCCTTTTAGTCGTTTCGTTTCCATTAGCAGTTGTGGTACCGGCAAAAGTCCCGGGGTGGCCGTACATAACAACGTAACCACCGGGCTCAACCAGAGTGTTGAGCACCGCCCTTCTAAATTACTAGGAAGATAGAGAAGAAGTGAATTTTGAGAAGTTCTAAGAGAAGAGTTACTATAGTATTTTCGAAGAAAAGTTGAGGACTTTAGTAAAGAAGTGATTTTGAGAAAAATCAAAGAGAAAAGAATTTTGGTGGAGTGTGTCATTTTTATATAGTATTATATGAAAAACTATTTTTAGCCAAACCTGATTATTTTACGGGGTTGGGTAGTACTTACTTAGCTCTAAAGCTAATTTTTGTTTCCTTTTCTTTGTTTTGTTTTCTGCACTTTATTTGTGCAGGTGATGATGCTTATGTGGACTGATGATTGTATGACCACGAGAGCGGTTTAGAGATGCCTTAGTCAAACCTAGTCATAAATAAACAATCCAATTATGTTGAACACTTGTTTTACTTTGTTTGGTGATTGCCTGTGCATTCGGTTAAGAGATGACCGGATGTGGCGGTAACACCCATTTCCCAATTAATGTTATTTCCGCTGCAAAACTTTTTATCTGTTTGAAAGAATAAATCAAGTTTATTATCAATAAATCTATTATTTCAAGTATTATTTTGGGAGGGAAAATGGGGGTGTTACATGGCGGATGGGGTCCAGGATGTGGAATACCTTCTTACCTTTGAGAAGCTTGCCGAGGCTGGGATAGGTATCGCCCGAATATCTGGACTCCCCATCCCTTCTACGTTCGTCTCCGGGATCCGGGCGGTTCTGTCCTCCGAGGTGAGTACCTTAAGGGCCAATGCCGCCCGGTACTAACTCCTTGTGTTTCTTGTTTCAGATCCACCCCCAACTCAAGCCCAAATGAACAACGAGAAGCTTCTGAGGAATAGGAAGGGCAAGGGTGCTGCCGCCGATGCTGCGCTTACCAAGGCCAAGGCTGGCCAAGCCTCTGAGTCCAATTCCTCAGCTTCTCAAGCCGATCGACACACGGTTGAGGCGGAACAACATCTGATTGCCACGGTGATGGAAGAGGGGTCCCAAGCCCCCATTGTTGAATCTGGCGTCCCCGAGGTTGTGGCGCCCCCGCAGACAGTCCCCCCTAAGGGCGAGGACAAAGCGAAATATAAAAGGGCGAAGAGGCCCCGTGAGGCTGGCTCTTCGGGCCCAGTGGTGCAGGAAACGACCACCCTCCCTTTGAGACGTCCGGCCACCGATATCTGGGAGGAAATCGCCTCTTTGGTCGGGGTGGAATTACCATCCCGGACGTCCACCGAAGCCACCAGCGCTGCTCTGGCAGTCGCCCTTTCATGTAAGTCGTACTTAGCGTTGAACAGATGATTATGAGTTCCCAGAGAGCTGTACCCTTATGCATTTGCTCTTTTTTGTAGACTGGGCTTTGTGTTCTTCAAGCCGAGGCTGCTAGGGATGTGGACGCCCTGCAGGCCAAAAACAAGGCAGAGGCCGCGCTGAAGAAGGCGCGTGAAGCCGCTCGTCTTCACGAGAAAGAAGCAGCAGCAAAGGAGAAGGAGCTGCAGGCCGCTCTAAAGGTTAAGCAAATGGTTGCCTTTGAGAAGGCCGGGTTCAAGCTCGCCCCGGTCCTTCCCGCCCCCAAGGATGAGGCCCTTCAATGGCTCGTCGATTCCTCTGGGTATGAAAATACCGGGGCATTTATGATTGCCGCCCAGAGGTACTGCGGGGGTGCGTTCGGCGACGTGTTCTCGGCCGAGCTGAAGAAGTAGAAGCCGAAGGACCGCCTGGCGTTCGGGGTCCGTGTGCTTGAGAGTGCTCCCTTGTCCGACAAATTTCAATACGACGTCGGGGACAACTCCTTTGCCATAGGTTACAACGAGGGGGTGAAGGCCTCATTGCCCGTCTTCGTCGCGCTGTAAGGCCCCAGCTTCAACTTGGCCCAGCATACTGAGGATGCCGAGCTGATATGGGCTCTGGGTAAGCTGGGGAGAGATCGGCTCCGCGAGGGGGCCAAGGCAAAGGGTGAAATCCCGGAACCCCCTTCCCCCGAACCAGAGCTCGAAGAGGAGGAGCCCGCCCAGGAAGACGCTCGGCTGAGTCCCCCTTTTTTGTTGATGTAATTAATCTTCCCTTACTTTTGGTTTGATTGTAAATTCCAGCCGGTAGTGCCGAGGAATACAACCACATTTTGCTCCACGATTGTCTCTACGTTCGTGTCCTTTTACTTGTCATTTCTTCATGTTTGATAAGTGTGTGCGAGACCCTTATTTGATCTTGTGCGTAGTTTTCCTTTGGTGTGCAAAAGGTCATCCCCGATGATACTGGCAATTTTGTTGGGCATTACTTGGCCTCACATCCTATATTTTGCCAAGTATGTGGGGACGAGCGTATCCGCCTGATGTTTGTATCCGGTGACGACGTTCTTCCATCATTGAGCTTGGTGTCGCTTAGCATCATATTTTGTTAAGTACGCAAGTACGAACTTATCTGTTTGGTGCCCATATTTGGTAGCGACGTCCGTCCGCTTTTGACTTTGGTATTTTTCAGCCATATACTTGTACTTTCCGTGCCAAGCACTAAGGTCCAAATTCCCTCGGAGACGCTCGTCTGCCCAACTCGCACTCTTTGGAGACGCTCGTTTTTTCCAAGCAATAGGGGACGAACGTAATTTTAGTGGCATGTGGGAACCCTTAAGGCAGATGAGCCCATTTTTTCTTTTGTACCCTTTGGGCGAGTGGCAAGTGCTTGGTGGTGCGCATCGGCCCAAGTTCTTATGTAGGACGTACGTATTTTAAAGTGTAAAGTAAAAAGGTATATTTTTTGTACTAATATTTTATATAAATTGTATTTTATGTGGTTTTTAGAAAATACAGTCTATTGTACATTTTTTTGTACTTAGTTTTTAGAAAATACAGTTTATTGTAATAATTAAATACATTATATTTTTTATTAATTATTAGAAAAAACAATGTGTTGTACTTATGAAAATGAGTGCACGTTTTGGGATTAATTTTAAGAAAACAGTATATTCTTTTGGTATTAATTTAAAAAAACAGTCTTGTTTGTATTAATTTTAATAAAAACAATGTATTATAATATGAAAAAAGTGTATATTTTTTGAATTATTTTAGAAAAACTGTTAAATATAAACTGTTAGGGAAAAAAGTATTTTTTGTGTGCCAATTTTTATTAAAAAAAAATTGTGATAATTTTTTGAAAATACAGTGTATTGTAATAATAAAATAGAGTTTAGTTATTTTATTAATTTTAGGAGAAAGATTTTGTTGTACTAATAAAAAACAGTGTATTTTTTGTATTAATTTGTAGAACAATATATATTTTTTGTATTATTTTAGAAAAAAACAGTTTGTTGCACTAATAAAAAACAGTGTATTTTTTGTATTAATTTTTATAAAAACAGTATTTTTTGTATTATTTTAGAAAAACTGTTTGTTGTACTGATAAAAAAAGTGTATTTTTTTGTATTAATGTTTAGAAAAATATCTATTTTTGTATTATTTTGGGAAAAAAACGGTATATTTTTTGTGACTAATTTTAACATGTTAAACTTTTTTGCAAGTTTAGCTTGAGGGGCACCAATTTTTTAAATGTTTGATGTTGGAATCATATATGTAACATATTAAACTGTTTATAAGTTTAATATGAGGGGGGCTGATTTTTTTAAATTAATATTTTATAGGGATAAGGGTCAGATAGGGCCTCGAACTCGAAAAAAATGTCAAATAAGGTCATATTTCGGATGCTCTGTCTGGCCGACGCCATTTGGGGAGGTTCCCGATGAAATTTTTTAATGAAATTTTTTGAGCATCTTCCTCATTAAGTCTAGTTTACCCATACCAAATTTCAGCTAAAATTTCAACCGGGAAGGTAGTCAAATAATTTTTCGAAATGTACGGCGTTGTTTAACTTCACAGTTATCTTCAAAAACTCATTTGATTACCTTCCCGATTGAGTTTTTAGCTGAAATTTGGTATGGGTAAACTAGACTTAATGAGAAAGATGCTCAAAAAATTTCATCAAAAAATTTCATCGGGAACCGCCCCAAATGGCGTCGGCCAGACAGAACATCCGAAATATGACCTTATTTGACATTTTTTTTCGAGTTCGAGGCCCTATCTGACCCTTATCCCTATTTTATAACTTCAATAAATGATACTCCCTCCGTCCTATAAAATAATTCCCGCATTGACTTGGATCGGAGTTAAAAAAAGTGGGAATAAAGTGAAAATGTATGGTTGTGGTTGAGTAAGAAAAAGGTAAGGGAATGTGAGCCACACAAAACTTTCCAAAAAAGGAAATATGAACTATTTTTTGGGACGGCCCAAAAAAGAAACCGGGAACTATTTTGCGGGACAGATGGAGTAATATTTATGGAGCAGAAAATAATTCATGTACGAGGTCATGACAGAAAATTATGGTATAAAATGTCCAAAAAGTGAAGTTCTAATAATATTGAATCATCTTTCAAAAAAATATTGAATCATAACATATTTGTTCGAAAATAAGACTATTGCAATAAATAAACCAAATAGAGCATGCATTAATTTGTAGAGCATCAAATAATTCATGTTTGAGATATGAGCATGCATTTATTCAACAAGTTCATGTAGAAACAATTCAACAAATAAAGCATCACATTTGAATCATTAGATCATGCTTCAAACTTATAAACGGAAAATATATGAGTATGCATTTTAAAATAGTATATAATAACCGAGCATATAAACGTATAAACAAATAGAGCATGCATTTTAAATGGAAGTTGAACGATAATAATAAAAACATGCATTTTTTGGCATTTTAAGACATTTATAATCAAATATTAATAAACATAGGAATGAAAAATAATAAAAAAATCAGACACATAACCTTGATGAAGAAGCTAAGGCAAGACGGCGGCCAGGGGCGGACCCAGGAAGTTTATCTTGGGAGGGCGGTAACTTAAAAAATATATTTTTTGGGAGGGCGAAAATTATTTTTTGGTATATATATACACTAAAAAAAAATTGTTGGAGGGGCCACTGCCCCCCTGGGTCTCTACTACGGTCCGCCCCTGACGGCGACGAACGGAGGAGCGACGGCGGCTTCAAACGAAGGCAAGCGGCAGTGGACGGAAGAGAGCGGCGGTGGGCAGTAGCTGAGGTCGGAGGAAGAAGGGAGAGAACGGAGTTGGCCGAAATAGTTACGGTTTGAAGTATGGGGATAAAATTTTGTCAAGTGATCGGTTTTATATAAACGTTTTGTCACGGACGTATCCGTGATAAAATCCGTGACAAATTTGAATTTTTTAATTTGTCACGGATGTTCTCACAGATACGTCCGTTACAAACAGAGCCGGCTTTATGGCCATTTAGGCCAGGCTTGTGCCTAGGGCCTCCAAAATTTTAGGGGCCTCCATTTTTTTTGTTTGCCTATTAGTATTATAATTAAAAATTAATCTTTGAATAAAATAATTGAAGTTGAGCTCAGGCAGAAGTGCAAACACAGTACGCAGGTCGAGCAATTCTGTATATTCTATCGATCTTCCGTCAATTACTTGTCTAAATTAATTTGTTACAGCTTTGCTCAATTTCTCTTTATCGATGTAGCTTTTATGGCGTTGTAGTTTTTTTACTTTTTACTCTTATACTCCGTATTTAAGAAACTGGCAAGGGACTCTCAAAATAATTAAGAAGTAAATAAACTGGCAGGGGAGCGAGGGACTAAGGACGGCTAGTTTAAATGCTTAAAAGTTAAAAAAATTTACTATTTACTCCGTATTTTAAAGTTTCCTACACTTTTCTTTTTGGGATGTACTTAAAAGTTCCATATACTTCCATTTTTGGTAAGTTTATCCTTTATAAAATATCCGTATTTTAAAGTTTCCTACACTTTTCTTTTTGGGATGTACTTAAAAGTTCCTTACACTTCCATTTTTGGTAAGTTTATCTTTTATAAAATACTCATCAACTACCCTACTTTATCTACGTTTTATTTTCTCTTTCATACTTTTACACACTCTCCTACACTTTCTACACTATTCACTATATTTACTATTCTATCCTAAAATTTTGTTCCAAAAGCAAATGTAGGGCGTAGGGAACATATTAATACTGAGGAAGGAAGTATGTCTTTAGACTTTCATTTTAGTCTTTTTTAAAAGTTAAAACTGCTCGTTTGCACTAGTAAGTTATGGACCAGTGAGGACAGAGGTTTAGGATTGGTGCACTAATAGTTTGCACTAGTAAGTTTAAGACTAGCGTTTCTCTTAATTATTAATATGTATTTTTATACTTTTATAAATATTTTAAATATGTAAGTATTGTCATTTGTCATGACGAGCCGGGTAAGCAAAAATTGATTCCGGTTCTACAAAGAGAAAGAATAAGTTGAGAAAGGATCCGGTTATTAAATCATTTGTCGGGTCTATGGATCAGTATATAAAGACAATTCCTTCTTCCTCAAACGTACACGTACTTGAGAAAGGACTGGGTATTAATTAAAAAGTACATTATTAGTGTATCTTATGTATGTTAAATTTAAAACTTTATTATTTTGAAATTCACAATATATGTGGTTTTTGTACTTATTTTATCTTTTTTTTTCTTGATTGTATGTCTTTTATACAATTAAATTACATTCATATGATATTATGATATGTTTTTCTAAAGCTTTTGTGAAGCTTTTCCGCCTAGGGCCTCCAAACCGCTGGAGCCGGCCCTGGTTACAAAAGCCACTCGGTAACCGAGACGTCAATAGCGCAGAGTTGACCTCGAAAAATGTTTTTGTCACGAATGATCCGTGACAAAAGCCGTGACAAATTCAAAAATTCAAATTTGTCACGGCTTTTGTCATGGATCTTTCCGTGACAAAAGCCTTGGTAGCCAATATGTCAGAGCCTCGGGAAGAAAGGTGGACAAAGGAATAAGTTCGATTTTTTCACGAATGGATCTGTGACAAAATCCTTGTGTAAAATAAAAGTTATTATAAAAGTTATTCGGTCCAAAATTATAAAGGCAAAAAATATGAGTAACCCAAAACCATTGAAAGAATGTACAGTTGATGAAGCCCATAAATGCGGAAGCAATGAAGAAAATCACCGAGCTGCAGTTAGATAGACCTTTTGAAAGGTTTGACAGC